TGTCCCCTCGCCGTTTCCTCCGGCGCCGGTCGGGCCGGGCCGTGGCCGGTGCGTACTAAGCGGCCAGGCCTTGGGGCGAAACCGGTCACCCGGCTGATGCGTACCCCAGAGGTGCGGGTAACGCCCCTCCTCCCGGCCCTCGGGTGGGTCGTTCAGCCTCAGCCGAGACGTGTGGGAGACACGGCCCAAATGACAGATACGGATGGTTCGGACAGAGCGCTGTAACGGCGGATATGTTTCGAAATGCAGGCTGGCGGTGCTGCGCTGAAAAATGGGCCATAAACTTGAAGGGTATTGCTTAGGCAAAGCCACCCTCTGAGCCTGGTCATCTTCCAGTAGTCGTTGTCCTGATGAGAGCACTGCTACAGGCGTTCACTGCTGTCCCCATGCCCTCCCGCCTTGCATTCGGAGCTTGCCCACCTGAGAGTGAAAAATATTAACCTGAAGCCGATTTCCTGAGCTTTCTCTATATTAACAAGAATGGACTCCTAAAGGTGCCCGTCACAGAGGTGCTGGAAGTGGTGCTGAAGCTGCACATGCTACTCCACAACTGGAGTTAGAGATGTTTCTGAGAAGACACCTTTTTCTTTAGTGTCTTGAAAAGCAAGTCTCCCAAATGGCAATTTCTGCTGGGACACGAAAAGAGTCATAGGAGGGTGGTTTTTTTTGTAGTATTTCTCTTTGCTTAGAGCTTTGTCTCTGCTTAGGGGAGTGTAATAACTAGACCAACTAGCAATATGCAATATACTCGCACTGAAATGGAGGTGAAAAAAGCTGAATGTTATACATGTTTTTAATTCCAGTATCTTGAGGAGGAGGAGGGGTATGGTTCAGGAGGATTACTTGATAAGTATTAGAAAATATTGAGAGATAATTTGGTCATTTGCATTTTCTGGGGAAAAAAAAAATGATTCTTTGCTTTTAAAAATATGGGAAAGATTTAGAAAATAGGACTTTGCCATTCATTACACTCTCTGCTGCTCATATTTCATACCTTTGTACTGATGATTCAGTCCCTCTCCAATCTATTTATCAAAGCAGTGTTTCCAGAGTGTTAACATGAAGAAACTTCATGATCCTTAAAGTCCACATATCACAAAGAATACCAAAGTTCACTGCATTATTGAGATCAATACATTCCACGTGTAGTTAAGAGCTGAACTATTGTTCTTGTTACCATTAAGCATATAACCTGAAAAAGATCATTCTGTTTTTTTCCATTTTTCCATCTGGATTCCCGGGATGGGAAAAAAAAAAAAACAAAAAACAACCAAAAAAACCCCAAAACATAAAATGTATAATTTTCGGGGGGGTTTTATGCTGAAAATATTTTATGTTAGGTGAGACGTGCTCAGTGCTGGTTATAACAGCATTTTATTAACATCTAAAATACTTAGATACAGGATGCTTAATTAGTAAAAAGTCAACACTTCCAATTCAATTCAAATTTGGGGGGGGTTGCTTTGTTTTAGGTATAATATGAAGACGATTTATTAGTTTTTAAAGGAGCTATGTTCAGAATTAAATGGGATGTGCTTTAAAGAATATTTTTGTTTGTGAGGGAAAAAATATCAAAAACTAGAGAATATTATCACTCATTTAAGGAGCCATCCTCACAGTGCCTAGCACACAATCAAATATCATCCTTCCCAAACCACTATTATTTCTAAAATACTCTTTCTTCAACGAAATTGAAGGAATTGACAAAGGCAGATATTATACATTTGATTTACAAATAAAAAATGCATGCACATAGAAACATAAACTTCCTGTCCCAAAAGAAATACCTTTCCTAGATAACTTTTAATTACCTTCTCTGCCTTTTCTGTCACAGTGGTGATGAACTTCAGCCTTGTAACTGAGGTGACTGCTCTTTTTGGGGTGCTAGAGAACACTTATTTTCAGCTTCAGAGGGAGAGCAAGGATTTTTAAGATGCACAGAACTTTTCAGGACCACTGAAACACTTCTATGAAGACATTCAGACAGTCTCACGTACAATGCCCAGTGTATTCAGAGGTGCTATCCCGAAATGTTGAGCCATCACATTTGATCATGCCCATGACCTTATTTGGAGCAGCATGGAAGTTTTCAAAACACACCACATTCATTTGTAGAAAAAATGAAAGCAGGAGGTAAAGCTGACCACACTTCTGAAACCAGATTATCTAAAATTCAATGTGCTGTTCTTATTTTATTAAAAGCAGAGATGGCAAATATATTTGTTCAGAGAACATAATAAAGAAATACGTTTTTTTAAAGTTACTTGTCGAAATTTTTCAGGCTTTTTGCTCACAAAGGAGAGAATGGGATGATCGTTAAGACAAGAACCCACTATAGTGGGCCTTACTACTTTGCTCAGTCACGAAGTGGCAAAAGCTGCTTGCAGCTTCACACACTAGTTGTGCTCAAGCCACATTATGCTTCCTTCCATCAAGGCACTCTCCTCTTCCCTTACTCCTCACTTCAACCTCCAGAAACTCTTCTCACCTCACCCTTTGACATTGCTTTCAGCCTTTTTGTATTGAATAATATTAATGAAAGTTGGACGGAGAAGGGGAGGGTTTATACTTATTTACAGCCTAAGTTTAGAAACTAAACTCTTAATGCCTAGGTCAAGGGACCCCTCTTCCAAGGTCTCCATAAAGCCAAAGGACAGAGAGACAAAGGTGCAGCCCAAAGTCAGTTCAGAGCAGGGTGCTAACTGAAGCCCTCCAGTTGCTGTTCTAGTAACACCCATCTGCCTCCACAAGTGAACATGCTTCCTATCCCTGGGGGCAATGTGAATAGGACCTGTTACATATTTATAAAGAATTTTATTCCTAGCCTGTTTCTTAAAACAGCTAACTTTAAAAAAAAATCATAAGAAAACAGAATATTTTGTCTAATTACCATTTATAATAAAGAAGTTTTAGCTAGGAAATTTAAAAGACCATTGTAAGGTACAGATTTTCTTCTGGAAAGACCAAGCCAACATATTATAAAAGTAGTAAGTATAATTTGACCCCAGAGCCAAAAAGAATTACGCTGTTTGTTGATTTAACTTTTGGTTTCTAAATAAATTGAAATCATTCTTACAAAAGGGAGAGGAGAGCTACAGTGCATAGGCTAGGTAAACATGTTCAACAGGCCTGAAAAATTAGAAGGGCATAAACAGACAACTTTTATACAACTGTACGGTAATATAAAACTATAATAACCTCAGCTCCTTTCAAATACCTTCCTCAGTGATGTGCAGTGCAAGTAGAATCAGGAGGAGAATTAGCAGCATTGCTGCTTAACAGTCACACAGTCTTGTTAGTGTGTGGTCTTGCTTTTGACTCCTGGTGGCCTTGGCTTATGATCTATTTCAAGCTACCTGCAGCTGGAGTAGTGTGTCCATCATTCAAGATACCTATGGGATCTACATAAAACAAACAATGAAAGATGCAGGATTATATTTCACATATTTACAGGTTTCTAACTCTAGTTAGGGAAGGTAGACAAGGAAATATTCTCTGAAG